CATGCTAAGTCCAGACAGCTCTACTATCAATCCCCTCCATTTCTATACTCTATCCCTTAGGTGAGGATAGTAAATCTTAATTTACAGGCAAGACAAAGCCACCTTTTTATGCCCCACTCCTTTCCTCTTTTACTAGAGAAAGGAATAAGCATCTTTTCAGCCATTTTTTTTCTTCCTTAACATTCTCCCATTCCTCTATGTCATGACACACTTTCAGGATAGTGTGGTGGCCCATTTGTCACTTCTTTTCGAGGCATGATGCTCAGTGTAAGGTAGCAGGCTGGGTGACATCAGAAAAAATTGTGATTGCATTCCCATGTTAACACTGGTGGTGGAAAGTATGGCATAATCCTCAGATATGCTTCTTTTAAAAATAAAGAATTAAACTTTTTAGGACCATTTGAACCCAAAGTTGGTTTTAGGGAAGTACTCCCCTTGTTAAAATGGCACATCCTGATAATAATCAATGAAGACTTAGCCTATTTCTTAATTATTTACATAATCAATACAAATATAAATAATTTTATTCACAAAAAATATTCACAAGAAAGCATTTTCCCCTATACTTAAGATATATAAAGATCACTTTTATATTCTTTAGTCCAGGCATTCTCTATTAACCACTTGTATGAGCTATAAACAATGAACATATTACCAGTGAACTGACAGCCACTACAAGATATTTTCTGAGAAAATAAAAAAGGCAGAAAGAGAGGGCACAATTAGAAGAAATGAAACCCTATAAAGCAGGCATATTAATCTTCTTTCTTTTCCAAACCATGCTTTGCAAACAGTTCTGGCACAAAAGGGTGAAGCAACCACATCTGTTTCCCACCTAACCATTCCTATTCTTTTCTTCTCTTACAAAAGAAAAGCTGCTGGAGAATTCCCCTTGCCCTCTCACCTCCTGAAAACTTCTTTCCACTCCTCAAACAGTGGTCAACAGCAGGATTGAGACAGGGAGGAACAGCTCTGTGTCTCCACAGACTCTAGGGACATGCATAGGGGCTGAAAAGCTGTTGTATCCAAAGAGCAAACATATGTGAGAGCTTATTTGAATAAGCTTCACTTAGCATAGCCAAGTGCACATCCCTGTTCCTGAGCATTTTGCTATTTTACTGAGCTTTTACTGCTGTTAATAGCCAATGCTATCAGGGTGACAGAAGAATATTGTGTGCATTTCAACCTGCACTGAAACCCATCTAATTTAGCACTGGCTCAAGTGCGCTTCACAGTAAATAGCCCAAGTGCCGAGGAGATGTGTTTGACAGCAAGCTAATTTTCTCTGTATCAAGCCTGTTTTGATAACTCAGCCCCTTCAGGAATTGGAAATTTGAAGTGGTTCTTCTAATTGAATGGTCCTAACCAAAGGCAAATTCTCTCCTTCCTTGCCTAGGGTCCTGTGGATTTATACTGTAACAGGAGAGTGGGTATATCCTCTTTTTGCTTTGTTCAACCCCCCTGGACTAGCAGCCTTTTTTGCCGGTAGCTTTGCCATCATCTTTGCCTTATACAACTTCGGAGAGTTCCTCAACCGTATGATATGGGGTCAGTCCAAGTTTTCTTACTTATATACATATGAAAAAAATACCCCTGAAATGACTTGCTGTGATTGCCCAGGCAGGCAGGAAAAGGAAGGGGGCATGAGTACACTGGGGAAGGTGTTGGGGTGGTGGCATTTGGGTGTCAGATAGTCATTGCTGGGAGTCACCCACATGCTAACAAATAGAGAACAAATTGGAGCAAGGATCCCAACCCTACCAGACAAAGGTTAGACCAGTTTCTTCTAATTTGGGTCAAGAAGCACCTCTTGCCAGCATAATCACTGGATTTTGAATTCCTGCTCAAAGAAGGGTCCAGAGAAGACACATGTCCTGGGCTAAAACTCTTACACCTGCATTACATGTTGTTTGTCAGACTAGGGATTAGCAGCATTTACTGCAAATTTACAGGAATGTATCAGTGTATCCAAGCAAAAGCACCGTGGCAGCAGCTCCATGACTAAAACAGCACTTTGGAAAGTTTTACAAACTGTTGAGAATTTTTCCCTTCTGCTTTAGAAGTGGTATAACCAGTAGTGACCTAAAAGAAAGTGAAAAGCAGCTTCCTTGGACATAATGGGCAGTTGGAGGGGGAAAAAAGCATAGTTTAGGAAAGCATATTTAACAAGTGGAAGAAAGAGAGAACTGAGGAAGCACCTTTGGGGGTTTGGCATGGGATACTATTATTGTTATTATTGTTGTTGCTATTATTGTTTCTTTCATTATTATTCCTTCTGGTTTCCTCTCCTTTTTCATTCAAGATTGAATTTTTGAGGATAAAAGTGTTTCTGTCAGGAAAACGTGTGTATTTTATTTAGGACAAATGTGGGAACATTTGCAATTTCTTAAACTAGCTTTCTGATTTAAGAAAAAACACTGCAAAAACACCTCTGAAAATAAATAAGACAACCTCCCTCTGTTCTCAGTGAACATTTGATGCCTGATCCATTTTGCAAAGTCTCATATGCCTGCCAAACCAAAGTCGAGTGTCTGTAGCTAGTCTCTCACCATCCATACTCAGCTACCTAACAGCAGCAGATTGGCTTTCAAATGTGCTGAATAACCAGCTTCACCACTTGCTACCTTTGCAAACAAGATGCTTGCTCTACATGTCCATGTTTGGAGATTTTGGCCACATTCTATTCTGCAAAAACATCTTATGAGATGAGGATTGCTGGTAAATGAAAACAGATCTGCAGCTTTTCTGCACTAACTCTGGTTTAAGAGGCATCATATATAAATAGTAACTTCTGCTAATCAAAGACCACACCATCACCACATGATAGCATTAAGTCTATATGAGATATCTGATACATTTATGTATCAGATTTTTTCATCACTGAGTACATATTAGTATTTTTAGGGCTAGAGTATGCCTGCCGCATAAGCTGGAGATAATCAGAATAAAAATAATTTGATTTCCAATGTGTTAACTGATTGGACAAAATATTGTGCCAAGCAGAGATCAAATTAACTGCAAAAATTAGATGCATATTCAACAGCTGACTAAAGAAACTTGGGCAAGCACTCAACTTTACTGTGCACACAGAGAGGCTGAAAAGCACCACAGTTGTGGTAGCATGAATGTAACCTCAGAGTATGTATATAAACAATACACAATATTCTCCATTGATATCTGGTGTGCTCTTGCGATCCCTGGAGGCCTCATCTGTGTGGTGGGTCTCCCTCTCCATGCATAGTTGGTATTTTTCAAAGGAGCCACAAAATCCTGGCCTTAACAATTACATGGTGTTTTCATCCACGTGCAAGGCACTCCCCTTGAGTTACAGTTCCCCATGTTGATGCCAAGTGTTTTTACTGATCCACATCCCAGCTGTGTCCACCCAGGAGAAGGGTAGGACTTCCTTAAGCTGGTATCAATAACGAAGTCCCAATAAGCCTTGAAACATAGCCACAGGGAAGCTATTCCAAATTACAACGTGCCAGAGTTTTAATATATTCCTGACTGAGACAAATTTGTGGTTCAGCATTGCCAGAGAAAAAAGAGCTGCAAATTGAATGAAGACGCTATTCCAACATATCTTTGTTCCCACAGCAAAAATGGCTCCATGTACTTTTTTTCATCCTGCCCTTTTCTCTCTCTCCTTCCCATCACAATAAGGCAGATGATGCAGTGGAAATGGTCATGCAGAAAACAAAACAAAACAAAAAAAAACCAACCAAACAAACAAAAACCAACTTACCCCCCACAAGGCAAAACAATCATTGGTGTAGAGGACAGACCTCTTCATCTTTTCATACTCTCCACCCTGCCCACCTCTTCCCTCCCTCCCTTAAAAGATGAAGTACATGGAAGGGCACTTTTGATCTCTCATTTGCTTCCTCCTCATTCCCCAAAGGCAGTTTGGGTTACAAGTATCTATTAGGTTCCTATAGGCATACCTGAAAACACCTTGTCTAATAACACATGAAACCACCAAACAATTAGACCTAGGGCTGGTGGGATCTGACAAGGCAGAGCTCTCTGAGTGGGCTGCTGGCACCAGGATTCTCCCCAAAGGAAAAAAATCCAAGGCTGTTGCTTCTTTTTATTTCTTTCCCACTCAAATGAAGAACATTTGCCCAGACACCATTATTCAAAGGTGCAAGGAGTGATTTACAAACAGCTCCACCAGAGTGGCAAGCCTGACTCCCTTCTGGACTTACATCCTGTGGCAGACCGTAGGCTGCTAATGAAGCTTGTTCCACAGCACATCATGCTTCATACAGGCTCTTCCCACACTCCCTTATTATCCCAGGCCATTATTATTTTTTCCTAAAACCAGCTACATAAATATTTACTCTTTTTCACACTTAAAGGTATATCTAGTTCCAACTTATTCCAAAGTCCATAGATAGCAGCTTCCAGCTTCAAGCAAGTAAGTGTTAAATCTATGTCCTGTGGTTGACCAAAAAGATGCAGGATCGTTTCTGAGAGCTGGAAAATCTAGGCTGTAGAATAATATAACCTTTATTTTCCTTTTCAGGATGCCAGACCCTAAATTCATTTTATTATTTATAGACAAACTGTTTCATACAGTATTGGAGGTTTTAAAAATGTATTATCTCTCATGTGCCTCTCCTCTCCCTCCCCTTGCACAGTTGGATTGGTGGTAACTAAGGCAACCCAGCTGCACAGCCTGAGAGGCACAGAAAATAGTACCAGTAATGACTTCTTTTTGTTTTAAATCCCAGAGCTTCTAGAGTGCAAGACAATGTTGAGCAATAGAGAAACTCCAAAGAGGATAATTTGAAACAATGAGCTGATTCTTTTACTGCCATAAATTTACCTCAGCCAAGAATTTGGCTGCAGGATCTGAGTACCAAAGATGAACCGTGCGATAGTTTCTCCCCTTCCTGATGGGTGGAAAACATCACACAGGCAACTGATCTCATTTTTTTTGACCAGTCAAACTAGAATCCTCAAAAATAAAGCAAAGCAGTGCTCGCTTGGGGTTTGCTCTTGTTGGGACAATCAGATCCTTGGCAGAAATTTGGATCAAAGTTCTCCACATCAGACAGAGCAACCTTTCAAGTGAGGTCTCTTATCTAGAACTTGCATTTGAAGATGGAGCACATTCATTTGTCTTCCATCTAACACATCTGAAAAAAAAACCAAAATAACATTCATCAGCTGCTTCATTTCAATACTCTGAAATGCAGCTGGAGAGGAGCTATAGCTAGCAACAGCTACTTGCTCTACCAGTGATTGAAAAGCCTCCTGATGCTTTTGCCCCTACTTGCAAAATTTTGTAAGCCTAAGGCCTCTCCCAGAGAAATGCTTATCCCCACATGGTGGAACTGTTCTTTGGGAGAAGGAAAGGGGGCTGATTGTTAGAGTGGACAGCAGCTCCAACAGACCCCCCTAGATGTTTGCTGTCCACCAGAAGGGAAAGCTTTGGCTAGCAGATGACTGAGAAACACTGTCAGGGGCAAAACAAAAATTAAAGATATTATAATGCAAGGGGTAAGGCAGCTCAACAGGAATAAGAGACATTGCTTTGAGGAAAAAGAGAAAACTTATTTTGGAATACCTTTCTCATGCTCAGTGCAGAGATGGATGCACTCTTCCAGATCTTCTGTGAGCTCTTAAGTATCTCGGGAAGACACTGCTGAAACCTATTTACCTAAGGCTGAAATAAAGTTAAACAACAATCTTCCCTTTAGTCTGTTTTTCAAAGTTTTTTTGGAGTACTTTTGCATTCAATGCATTTTCCAGAATCATATAACATGTTTTCACAACTGATTATTTTCTCTGAGTTTTATTTTTGTATTTATGGGCTTTTGAAACCAAGCTCCCTTAATACCCTGTAGCCTTGGGAAATCCAGCCTATGTGACAGCTCACAAATCTGTGCAATACAAAGCAATACTATAGTAAGATTGAATTCTTGATGCTGTCATTTTTCCAAGCAGCTGTTGAGATTGCAGAAACCCAAATGGCAAATAAAGGGATGCAAAGGGCAACTGTGTGGGGTATGAAGCCGTGCTACCATTGTACTGGTACAGGCTTATCAATGGCAGTTTTTGTATGAATGTTAAAATGTTGATGTTCTGCACATAGTTATTACTCCAGACACAGGTTCCACTTTTTGTTATTACAGTATCCAGGAGGGATTTTTTAAACTGAGATTCCTTTCCAGAGGATTTGTTGTATCATGCAAAGAATAAGAAGCCAGAGTCTATCAATTCCTTTCAGTGACCAAATAATGTTTATATCCATAATTTCACTATATCCCTGATGATGAATGGAACTCAGATTTTACAGAGTTTGCAGACTAAATATGAGTGTTTACTTTTGACTCACCCATTTCTCCTAGCTGTAACACAAGCCTGTGATGGCACACTTATGTCCTTTATATTTGTCACTCCCCAAAGCTGCAGTTTATCCCGCAGGCAGAGATGACTGACTATGTAAAGGAAACCTGCACTATTTGTCACAGGTCCTGTTTTTTTGCTGATAAGTCTATCTGGTGATCCACTGGAGGCAGACTGGATCAGAGCCTCTCACAAACCAGGGCTTACAAATTCATTAGTGGAGGCCAGACATTAAGAAGTGGTGGTTAACACACTGGTTCTGGCCTGCCAGACTATTTCTTTTCTTTGTGGTTTGGATTTTTTTTCCCCTCAGCCATAAATATCCATTTGGTCAGTATACACCAATACAATACACCAATTAGGGTTTCAGAGCCTCTGAGGTCCATGGACAAGGAAAGATCATTTAGAGGATAGTTTCCTATGAGTGAATGATCATCGGAGGGGAGGAAGAGAGGCTGAGACAGTGTGTTAGAAAAAGCACCCATAAGCAGATGATTATTGCCATACTGGGTGCCCCACAGTAGCACAATAACTGGTACTTCAGAAAGCTGTGGGATTTCTGTAGGCCCTGTGCTGTCCTGACCATCCATGTGAGGATCCTCCAGCTCTTCACATGCTCTTACAACAAGCTAGGTTTGCTTGGGAGCAGATACTTTCTCCCACTGGCAAAACACAATTATTCTCAATGGGTGTGGCCCATCGCAGATTTCAAATAATTCCTCAATTGTTGAGTAATCTGTTACTTGCTGGGTCCATCCCAGGCTCAATTGACTTCTGCAGTACTTAGCATTAGCAGCTGGTCCAAAACATGCACTCCCAGATGGGTAGAATTCCCCAGGGATGTTGGGAGGCTGGGGCCAGTTTCACATTCTCCCCATCCCTGATGTGCAAAAGGACTTCTCTGTTGTGCTTTCCCCCTTACATCCCAATAATGCCTTCTCCTCTGTCTTCAAACAGGAGATTCAATAGCAATACTGGACCACAAGTGGAAAGGCAAGTGAATCCTCCTCTTGAAGCCAAACAGTCTCCCATGAACGCTGAAGCCATGAAGTAGAGGAAAATAAATGTAGCTGTGATAAATCCTTTCTCCAATGCATTGCAGCTTCTGGTGAAGCCATTATGACATCAGACATATGCAAAACTGGTGGAAAATAGGAAATGTTTGTCTCTAGCATGATAACTCTGCAACTGCTATGAATAAGAAAATTGTGTGTTCATCTGTTTACACAGATTTCTCATCTGTTGCACAACGTATGTGAGGATGTGTCCATGGTTAAAAGTTGTCACTGGTAAATGCACTCCCTCATGAGCCTCACACCACTCTGTAAAAGACCTGTGAATGCAAGCCAGCTCTTGTTTGGATTGCCCTTCATCAAGTCTAGAAAAAATTAAGAGGAGAGATAATTTTAACAGTGCTGTGACTTCCAAGCTAGCTAGATAACAAATTGGGCTAACAAGCACTGTAACTAGAAATGTCTGCTCAGAAAGATCACCAAGGAGCTGGGTTCTTTTAATGAGAAACTTTCTGTAATATTAATATGCTTATATTGTGCTTAATATCTCCCCTCCATTTTAACAGGAAATCTGAAGGCAACAGTTTCTTCCTTTTTCTTGGTTTCAGTTAATCTCGCAGCAGAAGTAACCTAATTATACTGACTGTATGATTGCTTTGACAGAAAGCATGTTAATTTAAAGCACTGTTTAACATAAAGCTGCCTGCCATATAATTACACTCCATTCACATGTTTACTAATTTTCCTCAATATAGTTGATTTCTGTTATTAGCCTCAACATTTTGTTAACATCCAAAACACTGGAGATCTGCTTTGTAAACTCCAATAAACATGCAAAACTGAGAGTAGCACAAGTGTTCCTTAATGGTCAATGTGAAAAAGAAAAATCTCTCTTATTATTACTGCATTCAAAGAGGATTTGAAACTAGTTGAAGTACTTAAATGTCTAACTCTGTCCTCATTGCCAAAACTCCTTGCTTAGAGCTACTGTGCATGCTGTTCACCGGGGTGTTATTTTCACCTTTCAAATGCTGCGGGAGCTCAGTAAAAACAAAACACATTGTAAGCTGCCTGTGAGCAATAAAAATATAATGTGTATACATAAGATTGTTCTTCTCATGTGTTAAGCATCTGATAAGAATTCTAATCTGGGAAGTTAACATGCTAGGCCTAGACTGTAAACTGAGTGAACTCAATGAGAGATGTGCATGCTTTCAGTAGTTCCCGGATATCTAGATAGCTCACTCCAGCTAACTTTGCAAGTTACAAAGTTACACACTCTCCCTCCTTTTGTTGAAGCTGAAAGATGCTGGTCAAAGGAAATATATTGGAGAGACAGACGGAAAAAAAACATGGAGGGAATTAGGGAAGAAGATAAAGTTATGGAAACTCCCTGTACAGGTTTGTTGGGTATTTTAGTCTCTACCTCTCTTCTTTTTAAATTCTTTTATTTTGTACTGATACTCCAGTACAACGAGTTTAATTTTCAGAAACTCAAAACGAAGCCTGGGCCCCAGCACAGAGGGATAGGTCTTTCCATTTCCAACCAGAAGAGCTAAATGGCAGACCCCACCTTCAGCTCCTGCTCACACCGGGGATACCTTTGGGATCTGACATAGCGACTGACCTGCTGGTCTACAGGGCTTTTCAGAGAATCATGGGGAAGGTTGTTGATTTCTTTGAAAAGGGCTCAGAAGAGGCACTTCTCTCTGCTACATCCTGTATGAAGAGAAGCTGGATTCCAGTCATGCACTTTGGGAAAGCAATGAGGAATGCCTGTCCTCAAAATACAGCTGCTGGGATCTTGGATTTGCTTTGTTTCTTTTTCTCATATCCACAAAGCTCTGAAAGGAGGAAAATGTGTCACTGCTCACAAACCAACATTTTCCCTGTGATTTTTCAAAAGGCTGAGACACCCTGTGTAAGGATCTGGCCTTGACGACATTTACACCAGATTTCTCTTTCCAGTCCATCAGTCTCTCTCATTTCATTTTAAGTATGCAAAGTCAGTCAGAACTGTTTATTTATAGCCATCGATGTTCATGGCTGTATAAATTAGCTGTTATTACTGAAGGAGGTACCCACCCACTCGCCCAGAGCAGCTGCACAGGAGCCCTTTCATGCTGCTCCACGGAACGCAGCCCCAACGGGGAGGGAAACGACGCTGTCCCAGGCAGATGAAGGGACCATAGCTCAAACCCCTGGGCGAAAAAACAGCAATTAATTTTTTCCACAGTGCAATCTGCAGCATGACAACCACAATTACCTAATACTGTTTAGACCTGCCACTTGGATTTGGCAGAGAGAGAGAAAATGAAGGATTAAAATCACCAAAGGAAAAAAACCTACCCCAACTAGAACCTACCCCTGGACTTTGATTTTATAAGATCAAGTGATATTTGTTTAGAGGGGGTGAGGGGGAAGGGACAGAGGAGGATGGAAATGCAAAACTGGTTCTTATTTGAGATAGAGCACCATCAGAAAATAAGAACCCATCCCATATACACACACACACACTGAGCTGTTTCCAGCAGAAACAGCTGGAAAGCAGCATCCACCACCATGAGGAACTTTCATCTTAACTCACACCTTTGTAACAGTTTACTTCCACAAAAAGCAAAGGCAAGTGCTAATTTATTCCCTCCCCAGTTTCCCACACAAACTTCTTGGTTTGGGTCTCTGCCAGAGCTTCAGGGTCACAATGTGACCTCAACAACATAACTTAAGATTGTTCCAAGCCTTCAGTGGAACTACTGAGGATTTACTTTGATGGACATGGAGCCAGGATCTGGCATGCAGAAAATATGCATTTACATTCTACCAAACTGTCTAAAATAGTTGCCCAGGGATGCTGAAATTCAATTTGAGGCCTTATATTCACTTGGCAGAGCACATAATTAAATATTTTGTGCCACAAAATTAACCAGAGTCTCAGGGGTATGGGTAAGAGATGGCTTAGAATCAACCATGAGAGCCAAACTAAGACCTACTTCCCAGGCAAATTATTCAGTAAATATTGGGAAAAAATCATTACAGTCATAATAAATTTTGTTACTATTTAATCTTGCTTATTATCTGTAGTAACCTCTTACCTCAGAGGAAGAGGTTATCAGCAGTGTGGATTCATTTAAATAACCCAAATATCAAGAAATACTCTTGAACTAAAGTTCCTGCTTTACACCTAAAAATTGTTTGTTCTTGAAGTAACCATCTGGAAAGAAGCATCAGGTAAAAAACAAATACAATTACAATAAGCTAGACCTCAGAACAAGTGGTCAAAAGCCCCACAGCAGAATTTTTGCCTTTTAAGGTCTCCAGAGACCCTACACTGCAAGGAATTCAATGTTCCTGAAAAGCAAACCAAATTCCTTTAATGTTTGATGTCACTACCCTTCAGCTTAGATTCCAGACATGGTGAGTCTAAAAACAAGGGTTTGAGTTAAGCCTCTAAAATAAGGCCCAATAATATTTCTGAGCTATAAAATTTAATGGTAATACTTGGTGTTTCAAATGTCACTTTCTATCAAATGCTCTCAAAACATAAACATAAAGCTGCCTGCCACGTTTATGAAGCTTTAAGCAAAGCTTCAAGTTCCTTTCACCTTGAGAGGGTAATTTCCCTCAGTACCTGAGGAACAGCACGCATATAAGAGAATAATGCTTTACTTTACACCTAAGACAAGCAGAATTACCTCCTCCAAGTATGCAGGACAATGTGGCTTCACTGTTGGTATGGATTACATTCCTTAGGGAGAGGAGAAGCAAACCATGATGTACCAACACAAGACTCTGTTTTGAGATGCTAATTCAAGTTTTTTATGTGGAAACCCCCAGTGAGTGTGCCCAAGCGTCAGTGCTCACGTGGGAAATGAGGACATGTGTATAAAAGGAGTTAAGCATTTCTCTCCATCAAAGGAGATAAGCATTTCCCTCCATGGGCTTTGCGGACGGAGAGAAGCACAGCTGTGCAAGTGTGCTTCAAACAGGGAAGAACCACACTTCCAATCATAGAGTCATTAAGGTTGGAAAAGACCTCTAAGATCATTGAATGGAAACATTAACCCAGCCAAATGCCAAGTCCACCCTAAGCCACGTCCCAAAATGCCACATCTTTTCAACGCCTCGGCTGACGCCGGTTCCAGACTTCTGTGGGCAGCAGCTCCAGCGCCCCAGCCCTCGGCGCCCAGGAGCGGACACGGGACCGGAGGTGCTGCCTCAGTGCCGAGCACCCGCTGCACCAAGAAGCGGGAGCACCAGGGGCTGCCCAGCGCCGCGGCAGAGCCCGGCAGCTCCGCTCCAGCGAAGGAGCCGGCGCCGCGGCCGCTCCGTGAGGGGCGATTCCCGGAGGGAAGCGCGGCGGGGCGGGAGCGCGGCCCCGCTCCCGAGGCGCCACGGCGCCACCTGGCGGGGCGCGGCGCCGCGGCCCTGGCAGCGCCGAGGCGGGCGAGCCCCGGGAAGGGCGCTTCCCACCGCCACAGCCGCCGCGTCCTCCCCTGCACCCCTTGCGTCGCCCATGGGTGAGCGATTTCGTGGGGTTCCGGGGTGCAGCAGCCTCAGCGTTAATAAATAATTCGTCGCCGGACGCGCCCGGTGGATTCTGAGATGCAGCAGCGTTCGCCTCTCGAGCGCTCTTTGGCACAGCCGAGTTCTTGCACTCGCGCGTCTGCGAGCCCCAAGCAGCCCCAGCCCGAGAGCAAATCCCCGCGGTGTCCCACTGCGGCGTCACACAGCCGCCTTATTCAGTCAAAATCACAGGAAGAGGGAGAGCAAACAGAATGTCAGTTTGATCAACACATGTAACAATTATGTGCAAAAGAAAAAAAACCCAAAAGTTAATGGAGCACATTATTTTTATCCAAAGGTTCATATTTATGGATATTTTGCACTTTTTTCATTCCCCCCCCCCCTTTACCACCCCCCCTTTTTTTTTCTTTTTTAAAAAACAGATGTTGCTAAATGTTTTTGAATCACACATACTCCAAAATGCC